AACTGGAGCTGGTTTAGACTCGGTTTGCAGTTACATAACGACAGACAAACCTGTTCTAGTGACACAAATTGTTCAAAGTCAGATTGGCACCAACGAACCGTCCGACCCGTCGCTAATTATAGTGCCTTCCATAGAGCAGTGGCTACCAATGTATTCCTTTACTTTACCCGACATTGACAATGGGACTGCTTACACAAACTTTGTCATGATTGCTGTTGAGAAATCACAGAAAAACAACATCTTGCTTGACGGGGCAACGCTTTCTTCTGGGTTAGATTGGTGTGATATCCCTACCACCGAGTACACAGGGACGTCACTGCGGGTTCCCGCCGGATACCACCAGATGCGGAACATCTATTTGAACAAGCCTTTCGCACTTTTGTTGTATGGCGTGGGTAATTCTTCTGAGAGCTTTGGGTATCCAGCAGGGATGAGGCTAACTGATCTTACGGTAATGCTAAAATGATGCTTATATATTGGATTTAATACATTGCAGCTTTTGAAATTGCATCATTTTAAAATGTATGGCGTGGGTAATTCTTCTGAGAGCTTTGGGAATCTGGCAGGGATGAGGGTAACGAATCTTACAGTAATGCTAATAATAAGGACTATATATTGTATTTAATACATTGCAGCTTTTGAAATTCTATCGTTCTAAAATTACAATAGTATTTAGTTTATAACCGTGTTGGAAGTATATTGTATCTCCTTCTGAAGAAATATTTTATTCCAGACATGCACACCGTTCACCCAGACGGCAGAGGGGGATAATAAAGATAACGACTGCGATGGTTTGGTGGACGAAGAAATTTGCGGCGACTCCATAGGTTCAAAAAGAATTAAACACATTTATAAATATATTTCCCATATATATATATATATCTATTAGGGATATATCTTACTGATCCATTTTCAGTTGTTTTATTTTCAGAAAGTGTAACATTATCATTGTACCTAAAGTATTTATATTTGTATAAAAAACAATTTGTCATTCTTACAAATTAATTCATTTTCAACATTTCGTGAGGGGGTGTTGTAATATACTCCCTTTTTTTTATCTATATTGTGTAGATAACGACGGGGATGGGTTTAGTGACGAGGACTGCGCCCTGAAATTAAAAGGTAGGTATAAAATTGTTTACAAAGCTATATATATATTATCTGTTTTTGAAAGTTATTGTTTACGTATAAACACAATACGTCCGACACTGTCTGTTCATTTTATTTTGATAAAACTCAAAAGCTATTTTCGACGAAAAGGGAGAATAGAAACTCGGTGCTAACATGAGTCTATAAACCATCTTCATCTAGTGAATGGGAACTGGGGAGCTTGGAGTGTTTGTGGCGCATGCTCTGTCACGTGCGGTAATGGTACATGCACGCGCACGAGGCAGTGTGACAGCCCAGCCCCTGTGTTCAGCGGTGATCCGTGCCCAGGTGCCAGTACGGACTCTCAAGTGTGTGTTGCCAACCCATGCCCAGGTGTGTTTTTATGTGTTGCGGCTTACGCACTGTGCATACAACACCCATGTTGGTAGTTAAATTTTGGCAATTTTTAAAATCTTTTTATTCTTTTTTTTTTTTTTTTTTTTTTTTTTTTTTTTTTTTTTTTGTAACTCGCAGTTTCACTTAAAATTTGGTGCATTCCTTGCATCAAGAGGGCAGGTCTGTACTGTGGAAAACCCCATGTTTTTACAAATGTCTGAAAATGTCTGATTTACATGTAATATTATTTCGTTTTTCTCTCCCCAGTGGACGGTGTGTGGTCGGCATACAGTCCCTGGGGTCAGTGTACCAAGACGTGTGGCACTGGAACCCAGACGCGGACCAGAACGTGCACTCCTCCACAGCACGGCGGGGTGGATTGTGTTGGAAACGCCACAGAGTCTAGGGAGTGCAACACACAGGCGTGCCCAGGTGATATATTGTTTTGCCAGTTCTTTCTGTACTTTGTACCAGACAGGTAATACAATAACTCAGCATAATATAAGAGAGATTCGCAAAGTTCTTTTTTTAAATGGAAGGAAAAATCACGTTTCAAATATGCACTACTTGTATTTTTTATAGTAAACGGTGTACTAGGCCCTTGGAGTAACTGGAACCAGTGCTCCGTGACATGTGGAATTGGCACGAGAGCAAGATCGCGCACCTGCACACCACCACAAGGCGGGGGAGCAAACTGTGTGGGGCAACTCCGAGAGGTAGAAGGCTGCACGGCGTCTTGTCTCAGTGAGTGCCACAGTCACTTAAACGACCGAAGTGTCTTCTTTTGTCGCAGCACATTTAAATCACTCAGATAATATTTATTAGTTCTAGTTCACGTTAAATTAATTGATATTAATTGGTTCTAGTACATTTTTACAATGTTATGCAACTACGTGTACATATATGAACATGGAAGACTGCAAAACATGTAGCATTGAAATTGTTTCGAAATGCAAATAAAATATGTTTAAATACTCAGCAGGTGACTTTTTTTTGTAAGTCTTGAGCCCCAACCCGAGTCATGCTAAGTGATGAAACATATGTATTTTGGAGTTTCACAAGTGATAAATGTTTCACGCCACCGTCTGCTTAATTATAGCCTTCATTACTGAGAATCTACCTACATGCTGCTTTGCTTAAACTGTCACATTGCTTGCATTTCGTCTGGCTCCTAGTAACGCTTTACGTAAAGTAGTATGGTCAGGTGAGGTATATCAGGTGTTGAGGGATGGGGCCCATGTTTCACACAAATAGAAATTATCCAATCCAAATATTCTCTACCTTGGCTACGGATGTCATTTTAATAGTACGTCTCTAAGAAAAGAAAAATTATGAAGATCTTGATTGTATTAAAAAATAAATTGTTTTTAAGTATACAAACCCTACTCCCTCTAGGTGCTCTAGGTCAGAATTGTACAGAGACCAGTCAATGCTCCAGAAGTGTTCCGAACAGCGAGTGCGTGCAGAGCACGTGCAGGTGTGTTATGGGCTACCAACAAACTGGTCAGGAATGCATTAGGAGACGAATTGAAAGCGCCTGTACTACGAACCAGGACTGCTCCTCAGCGGTGACCAATAGCGAGTGTGCGAACAACGTATGCGCTTGCAATGCTGGGTTTTACAGTACCAATGCAAGAACCACCTGCCTAGGGCGCCGTATTGGAGACAGTTGTACCAATGATGTGGAATGTAGTAGATTGATCGAGAATTCAGCGTGCTATGAGAGGAAATGTGGCTGTATTGCTACTTACTATGCAAGTGATGACAATTCACAATGCTTTAGACGTAAGTGACTATTCAATACATCGCCTGTTAAAAGTTAGTCTTGTTCTCTTCAATAAAAAATTAATTTCAATTCAGGGTGAATGAACACGTGCTCACCAAAAGTACTGGTCCAAAGCGATAGCAATGTCTTTTTTTTTTTTATAAATCGAGCGCAATCTTTCTGTCAACTAACTTAACTGGGGTGAGAGTAGTCTAAAATGTTGGTCTAAAGTTCTCTTTTCAAATGTGACCCTGTGCAGGTGAACGTGAAATAACTTTAAAAGCGAGCATTTCATTAAAATATTTAAAGATTTTAATGACCTCCTAAACAGAAGTTGTAAACTGTGACAAAATTTCGTTTTCAATAAATTAGCTTAAATGGTGTAATTTTTTATTTTATTATGTGCAAGTTGGTGCATATTTGTTCAATTGTTTTAAATAAATAAAACTATTAAATTAAAAATTTTAAAGTTTGAATGATTTCATTTCAGGATTGAGAGATTGGGAAATCGCCCTGATAGCCCTGGGAGCTTTACTTTTCCTTGTGCTCCTTGCTCTTTTAATCTGCTGCTGTTGCTTCATCCCGTGGTGGGGTCGCAGGGGAAATAAGGTTAGTAAGCCGTAAGGTAAAATATGCTTTTAATGTAGAAACATAAATTAAGTTTTGTAAATAATAACTTTCATATGGTTAAGATACAAGGCATGTTTAATATTTTATTTAAGTTGATTTTAATCTTAAAAGTTTTATCAAAATAAATTAAAGGGGAGGGGGCGGATTCATTGAAATGGGCCGATTACAGCGGGCGGAACACAACGCACTAAATTATAGATTACCCAAAATTAATAAAAAAAAAAAAAGATGTAACATACAATCCCACCCTTACACCAACGGTGTATGTTTCATATGCTGTGATAATTCCTATAAAACCTGAAATAATTACAAGTATATCATCATGAAATACTGACTTATATAATCAAAATAGGCACTTTGGCGAAAGACCCTGGACGTTTAGACTTGTTGAATAAGGTTAACTAGACAAGGGTTTTACATTAACATCTAACCCTGTACCAAGTATGAAGATTTGGCACGATTTTTTTGTTTCAGAAAAAGCAGAAAACACGCAAGCCCCTCCATCCTCCCGAGCCACGCTATGTTGCGGGCCCAGTCCCAGCCCTTGCTCCACCTCCTCTCATGGCCACAATGGCTCCTGCGGCACTGATGGTACCTTACGCGCCCCCGTCGCCACTGCCGGAAGCCAGACAGAAATCTCCGTCAGATGTCTTCGTCGCAGTTCCAGATCACTTTGTTGCCATTCGCAAAGTAAATGGGCGTTTGGCACTTGCGCGGGTGGAAGCGGCTGATTATCTGAATCATAGAATCATGGTGAACTTCCTATCTCCAATCCCCGAGGCTGACAATATGTTTGAGCTGGATCCCAAGAAGGAAATTGTGTCAGATTCTGATGTTGCGCACTATCCTTTGAAGGTTGTGCGCCGCGGAGAATACTTTCAGTTAGTTACTAAAGAAATTTAAATAACTTTTTGTTTATGTCTTGATATATATAGTGGTTCAACTATATTATATAGGCCAAAAACATTTCATGGATACGATGAAATGCATATAGGCTTTTCGTGGCCTCTTATGTGAAGATGGTAAAAAAGTGAATTGCTTCTGAAAAGACGAAGCCGTTTTTCTATAGATCTATGTGAGTCAAGTGATCTTAGCAATTTGATGAACGGTCAAAACTCTCTTTAGAAACGACTTACTATTTTACTAACCACACCGATATGTCTATAATTTTGTAGGCAGCCACGGACATCAAGTTTGGCCTTTTTGAGATAAAACTCAGTAAATCCCGGGTAATGAGGTTGCGAACCTTACTGTGCTCAAAATGATATATTGTTTGACTTAACATTAAAAACAGGATCAAACATGAAAACAATATTACTCGGCCTTTAAATGTACCGAATTTGTGTTACCGATGAACTTACATCATATCGATCAAATGATTTGGGACAATGGCAATGGCGTGAAAACTGCACATTTTCTTTCAGTAGATACACGAATAGCGGTCTAGAATTTAGTCTAGCCGTATAAGTATCCATCGCTTATATGATATTTATATTTTCCATTGCATTTTCCATTACGACATTAGAAAGAAAGCTGGCTAAACTTTAGGAACAAACTGATAGGCCTACGCTCCGATGACAAATTTTGGCCGAGAGATATGGGTGCCAACTATACGCATACTCACCATGTAATGAGAAAGCATATCTCAAATTCAAGAACATGAGTCGATGAAAAATAACCATTTATTACATTAATAACCATAAAAGGTCACTTTATTCATATTCGATAAGTAATGCACATAGTTTAGCTGCATAAGTCTTAATAACAACAGCATTTCGATTTAGGTTTGAAGTTTGTAGTAGCTCTGGTCATTACAGAAAATAAATGGTTAAGTACTAAAACAGCAGTGTCTTCAGTGTTCTCATAAGTTCTATATGCTCATAAGTTTAGTCAATATTTGCATAATTGTTGTCACAAAGTTGATCATTATTTCATCAGGCACATGCACAGTTCTGGCTCTGTTTACCTAATTAAGGATGAATGATTTACACTGTCAAAATTATTGCATGAAATATAAATAAAATAAACTAATCGCATCACAATTATGGAGACCTGACACAGCATATTCCTGAGAACTACAGCAATGTTGGATGGGATGCACATAGTTCCTCCCACCATTTCATCTAAAAACTACATGTATATCTGTGTGAGTACAAATGTACTAATAGAAAGAGACGTGTTAAACAAGATTTCCGTCCCTGGCCATGGCATGCTATATGCATGAATGTTCTGAGCCATGTACCTGCTTCTTGGGATATGCTGAAGCTAAGTCATATAATTACCCCAGCTATGCCCGAACCATTACAAAGACAACTTCTCAAGGAAAACCTCTCCTTGATAAATAGACTGCACTCTACAAAAGATGAAAAATAGCTAAAAATGTGATCTTTTACATATTAAAATGAGCTCCAAGTCACATCATCTCTGCTGGAGGACCCAGATAAGCTGCCAGCCGTTAAGAACTGGCCTGTGCTGAATTATGTCAGTGAATCAGGTCTTTCTTGGTACAGTGTAAGAGTAGGTACTACTTGCAAAATATAAAGGAATTCACTAAAAAAGCTACATCCTTAAATTCATTGGGTGAATAGCAATCCTAATCACAGAGAGAAAAACCACCAAAGCTTCTGATGACAGGTACAAGAAGCAAGAAAAACACAAAAGGCAGAGGTTGCAAAAATCCACATCCATGGCCAAGTGGACCAAATTTTCCATAGACTGATTGAGGAGGAAAAGTCTGAACTTCAAGCAACTGGAATGCAGTGACAGACAGAAGTTACTGGAACTTAGTACAAAGCAGAACTTCAAACACTCAAACCTGAAAAAATAGCACTGAAAGAAGAGATCTGATAATCTGTTATGAACATTTGTCAAAAAAGAAATTTAGGGGAAATGATGAGAAGCCTTCCTAACTTTCCTAATTAATTGATTGTCTTACTTCAAATTGAAGAGTATTTGACAAAAAAACTTGATTCTTTCTCAATTTCAAATGTTTAACTTCACATACTACTTCACACGTAAGGAACTCAGGAGTAACACAAGAGAAGAGGAAGCCCAGCTGCTAGTCAGTGGTGATCCTAGATGTCAGTAAGATAAAATTTCTTTCCTCTGGTTTTTCACAAAATTGCTTCTTTATATTTATCTAGTTTTCTATGTTGGATCATTATTATCTTGCACTTTTAGTAGCTTGTCTATTGTGCTTTTTGGAGAATCTTTTTATTTCACTTTGTTTATGTGGACTGTAAACGACGAGTGGATAGCAATGGAGGAATCTGGAAAAAGCACTACAGACGAGGAGAGCAATTCTTCAGTGACAGTGGCTGGGATGAATGAATATACGAACAATACAGAGTCAAACTTTAACAAAACAGCCAGTGCGATGGCCAACAGGTGACCCACCATTACAGACATTTTATAAGGGTGAAGTAGAGCACTACAAGATTCCAGGTCGTAAATTGAGATTAAAGAAATACAAAGGAGACAATGACACTAGTAATATTATGTTTTTTAAAGGGCATGACTTTGTCAGGTTGGTAATATTTTTTATGTCAACAATTGTAAAAATTTGTGTTTTGCATTTACCTATCTGAATAAAATTTTCAATATACTGGTGTCCTTGGACGTATGCATACAGCACCGGTATAGCCAACAGTAATAGCTCATAACGATGTTGGCCCAACATTGACATTATAGGATCCTATAGGACTTTTCCATTAGGGTTGGATCAGGCCCATTTGCAGATGTATGCAGATGTTATCCACGCTAAAGGAGCACCACTGAGAAATTGTATTGGATTCACAGATGGGACTGTGCGTCCCATATCTCGTCCAACTGTGGATCAAAGGGTTGTGTTCAATGGTCACAAGCGCACTCATGCTTTAAAATACCAATCGGTGTTGACGCCAAATGGTTAAATTGCCAACCTGTTTGGGCCAAATAAGGGCAGGAGACATGATTGCGCCCTTAGTGGCCTGTCAGAAAAGATAAGACACTTTGGGTGGACGTTTTGTGGACAGACATGGGGACCGCTTTGCAATCAGGGATGGGCTGTTGTCTCCATTTAAGCAGGCTGTGCTCACTGCAGAGCAACAACAGTTATATGGGAGCATGTCTTAAGTGCAAGAGACTGTAGAGTGGCAGTTTGGAAAAATTGTAAATTCATTTGCATTTGTAGACTACAAAAAAAATGTATTTGCAACCTGTTGGGAAGATATATCTAGTAGCAGCATTACTTTCCAACTTTCACACTTGCCTATATAAAGCCAAACTTGTCAGTACTGTTGCATTTTCTATCTCAGTAACTGAAATTGTTTTTGACATGGGAGTGATGTGCCTGTAGCACATGCTGAATAGGTCAGAGGCTCAGATGTGGTTTTCTGCTAGGCACAGATTTGAATCCCAGCCAGATTTCTGCTCTGAGGAGATTTGAGTGGTATCAAAATTTCCATCAATGGGGAACAGGGCAGGCTGCATGCGCTTAATCTTCTGTTTCATATATATATATATATGTATGGGAGCGACATAGTTAAAGACGATAGTCAAAGAGAGTAGAGTAGTGTAGAAGAGCGGGATAGAAGAGGGCTGGAAGAGTTAGTTTTGCAGTTAGACACAATAGAAACACACACGCTAGCGATTCAGAATTTGAAATTTCTGACGATTATTCAGATGCCGGTTCAGTCTCTCAGGAAAGTTCGTTTTGGGATGGCAGTTACAATGAAAGTGTACTGTTTACTTCTGTTCAGGGATATCAGTTTGAGCCCAGGAAACATGAAAAAGTTGGGCCTCTCCCTGAGAGCGCGAGCGTTAACACGGAGGCATATGCTAACACTAGAGTCGGGAATACAGTGGTGAGTGTATTTATGGTTCTTCAATGCTGGCATGGTGCTTTTAATTTCAATGTATTAAGATTTTATTGGGTAACTAAATAATTATAACTTGAGCCAAGATGCCGATCATATTGAGGTAAAACGCAAAGTTAATTGGAAAAGAGTGCATTCCTTTTCTCATCCAAGTTTCTCTGTTTTGCACCTGTACTTCCGCAGACTAGAGATCTGCTGCACTAGGAGCAATTGCGCTGTTAAATTGAGTTTTGGTTAGGTTTCATAGTTAGAAAGATTAATCAGCACCATTCCCCGTCATGGCTCCAACTGCACTTCGTTAAACACGCCCCCCCCCCCAAACAGTCACCATGTTGTGTAGGGCTTATAGCCCCTGGTCGGAGATCAGGAAGTGCTTCTGGCAAGATGAAAATAATATATATCGGAAGGTATTGTCACAGGGTAACATAACATTTAAAATAATAATTTTGGAAAACCCCTCTTCGGTATAATGAGTACTTTCTGACCCTGTGCACTGTATGGTGCACCGGATGATAGTCTTTGAATTTAACTTGGAAAGTCATGTTTTATTTCCGAGTGCAGTTTACAAGGCTTCTAAATGCTAACTTCAACCCTTTAAACCACTGCTCTTACTACTTGTTGATCCTCTGTTTTAGCACTTCAGCTTTTCGGAAATTGACTAACTTTTCAACTAATTTCACCTATATTTATATTATAACTACAGAATCAGAGAGGCGATACCGCCTCTGAATATTGTACCACCAGCTGGAGTAAGCGCATTCGTATAGACCCACACACACACAAAAAAGGGACACCACCACCAGTCTTGTGCTTGACAAGCTGTAAAAATGGAATCAACAAAAATTTTCAAAATATGCAAAAAACATGTGTAACTAAAAATGGTACAATCAAAGTTTAGTTCATCGTAAGGTAGGTCAAAGGTCAATTTCAAAGTCACAGTAGATTGCCAGTATATGACTTCCTATTCAAGTTCAATAGTAACTATGGACCTATCTCTGCCAGTTTTGGAGATAAAAGGGAAGCAAAATTTGCAAAGTTCAATTCATGATAAAAAGTAGGTCAAAGGTCAATTTCAAGGTAACATTTAGATTGCCAGTATATGACTTCCTATTCAAGTTCAATAGAAACCATGGACCTATCTCTGCCAGTTTTGGAGATAAAAGGGAACCAAAATTTGCAAAGTTTAATTCATGGTGAAAAGTAGGTCAAAGGTCAATTTCAAGGTCACATTTAGATTGCCAGTATATGACTTCCTATTCAAGTTTAATAGTAACTATGGACCTATCTCTGCCAGTTTTGGAGATATAAGGGGCTAAATGTTATAATTTTGGAGTTACAACAATGTGCCATAAATTTCCTACAGAAAGAATTAATTAAAATAAAGAAAAGGTCATTTTAGTTGAAATTCTTTCTGTAGGAAGGTGCTCAGAAGTTCCAGATGTTAAAATTTCACGAAATAATGTCATTTTTGACCAGAAGTTGTCTGCCTCGCCAAGCCTTATGTTTTATTTTCCGGGGGTTCAAAATTTATTATCCATTACCGTACGCACATGTTGCTTTCACCACCAATATGTACTTTTTGATACAGCGTAACTCGAAAACTGTATGGAATACAAAAAAACGGAGACCACCTTCAGTGTTGGGCTTTACATGCTCTACAAAATGCAAAAAAGAATGGGTCTCTAGCATTAACGTTTCCCGAATTAGAAATGGTTTTCAGTTTCGATATCTTATGGCCACTACTCCCGTGAAAATGCACCTAATGACCCCATTGGGTTAAGTCTGTGTAGTGTCTGAATAACAGCCCAAATAATTTTTTTTTGGTAAAAAATTTCGTTTTTTTGAAAATTTTGGCCTGTTTGACCTTGAAATAAGGGTCAAAGGTCAAATCCAAGGGCATATTTGAAATCTCCACATATGACTTTGGAAAGCCGTCTGTAGAAATTTTTCCCATAATTCCTTCCGTAGGGTAGATAATTAGCATTTAATTTTGCCATTTTTGGACAAGGGTGCATTACAATGAGTGCCACACCTAGACCCCAATACCGACA